CCAACATGAACAACACCTGCCCAACATGAACAAACAACATATGCCCAACATGAACAACACCTGCCCAACATGAACCACACATGCCTAACATGAACAACACCTGCCCAACATGAACCACACATGCCCAACATGAACAACACATGCCCAACATGAACCACACATGTCCAACATGAACAACACCTGCCCAACATGAACAACATATGCCCAACATGAACAACACCTGCCCAACATGAACAACATATGCCCAACATGAACAACACATGCCCAACATGAACAACACATGCCCAACACGAACAACACATGCCCAACACGAACAACGCATGCCCAACATGAACAATACCTGCCCAACATGAACAACACATGCCCAATATGAACAACACCTGCCCAACACGAACAACACATGCCCAACACGAACCACACATGCCCAACATGAACAACACATGCCCAATATGAACAACACCTGCCCAACATGAACAACACCTGCCCAACATGAACCACACATGCCCAACATGAACAACACCTGCCCAACATGAACAACACATGCCCAATATGAACAACACATGCCCAATATGAACAACACATGCCCAACACGAACAACACATGCCCAATATGAACAACACCTGCCCAACATGAACAACACCTGCCCAACATGAACCACACATGCCCAACATGAACCACACATGCCCAACATGAACAACACATGCCCAATATGAACACCACATGCCCAACATGAACAACACATGCCCAATATGAACAACACATGCCCAACATGAACAACATCTGCTCAACATGAACAACACATGCAAAACCTGAACAACACATGCCCAATATGAACAACACATGCCCAACATGAACAACATCTGCTCAACATGAACAACACATGCCCAACATGAACAACAGATGCCCAACACGAACAACACATGCCCAACATGAACAACACCTGCCCAACATGAATAACACCTGCCCAACATGAACAACACATGCCCAACATGAACAACACATGCCCAACATGAACAACACATGCCCAACATGGACAACACCTGCCCAATATGAACAACACCTGCCAAACATGAACAACTCCTGCCCAAGAGCAGTTAGTGTACCACACACGAGGTACAGGAATCATCAATATACCACACACGAGGTACAGGAATCATCAATGTACCACACACGAGGTACAGGAATCATCAATATACCACACACGAGGTACAGGAATCATCAATGTACCACACACGAGGTACAGGAATCATCAATGTACCACACACGAGGTACAGGAATCATCAATGTACCACACACGAGGTACAGGAATCATCAATGTACCACACACGAGGTACAGGAATCATCAATGTACCACACACGAGGTACAGTAATCATCAATATACCACACACGAGGTGCAGGAATCATCAATGTACCACACACGAGGTACAGGAATCATCAATGTACCACACACGAGGTACAGGAATCATCAGTGTACCACACACGAGGTACAGGAATCATCCATATACCACACACGAGGTACAGGAATCATCAATGTACCACACACGAGGTACAGGAATCATCAATGTACCACATACGAGGTACAGGAATCATCAATGTACCACACACGAGGTACAGGAATCATCAATATACCACACACGAGGTACAGGAATCATCAGTGTACCACACACGAGGTACAGGAATCATCAATGTACCACACACGAGGTACAGGAATCATCAGTGTACCACACACGAGGTACAGGAATCATCAGTGTACCACACAGCAGTACCATCACATAAGAATATAAGAATGGCGGAGCACTGCAGCAGGCCTACTGGCCCAGACAAGGGAAGACTTTCTCAAAACCAGCCATTGCCACCCGCCTATTAGTTCAACCTTCACCAACACTTCAGATACTAATCAAACCCAGCCTTGTCACAAACAAGAACAGTAGTCACAAACAAGAACAGTAGTCACAAACAAGAACAATAGTCACAAACAAGAACAGTAGTCACAAACAAGAACAGTAGTCACAAACAAGAACAGTAGTCACAAACAAGAACAGTAGTCACAAACAAGAACAATAGTCACAAACAAGAACAGTAGTCACAAACAAGAATAGTAGTCACAAACAAGAACAGTAGTCACAAACAAGAACAGTAATCACAAACAAGAACAGTAATCACAAACAAGAACAGTAATCACAAACAAGAACAATAGTCACAAACAAAAACAGTAGTCACAAACAAGAATAGGAAAATGTAAGAGCAATTAGTGGCAGACATCATAGCTCTCACGAAGACCCAAAGTTAGTGATAATACTAAATAACATTCTTGTAATTGGGTACCTATTTATTATTATTATTATTATTATTAGATACATGGGGGCAACAACGCCCTGGGAATGGAAGGCAATCAGAATGGATTGAAGGATAGGGATGATAACTCCATCTCAGTGGATGTTAAGTCCTTGAACGACATCAAAGCACTTCCTTCCCATGAAGGATACCAAGTACCGAGGA